TGCACCCCGGCGCATACACCCAGCAACTTTCAGCGCGATCGGAGGAGAAAATATCGGCGTCGTCACGGGCGATTTCATTGGCAATCTCGACACATCGCACAAACCCCACGCCCCGCCTCCTTCAGCGCCCGCGAGCGGTGCGAAACACGTGCGGCATGCATACCCCAGCCCTCCCACACACATTCCACGTCGCCCCGCCCCGCCCCAACATCGCATACGGCGGCTCCCCAGGCGCCGCCCCCCAGCGAAAGACCGCGCCCTCGCGCCCCGACACCGCACCCAGACGCCCCCAAAACTCACCCGCGGCTCCCATGCACCCCGCCGCACCCCCACGCGCAGTATGGACGCGATCGGGGGAGAAAAAATCTCGGCGGTTTGGGCGCATTTCATGGGCGCGTGGCGCGCGGCGCGAGAAAATCGCGCGTGCCCACCCCCGCAGACGTCCGCCCGCGGCGGGCTTCGGCACACACGTCCCTCGGGACGACGTGCGCCGCGCGCCGTCGCGTGCGGACGCGTCCGGGCAGTTTGATTTGTGCGGGAGCGGGGAGGGGGTGCGATTTGGGGGACGCCGCGGCGGACTCGGAGAGCGAGGGCGCGCCGTGCACGAGGTCCGGGCGGCCCCGTCGGGTGCGGAACAGACGCGTTAGGCACGCGACGCGCTCGGCGGCGTGCGGCGCGCACCCGCCTCGTCTCCACGCCTGGCGCGCCCGCACAACGCCGCCGCGCCCTCGTTGGTCGCGGCGGGCGGCTCCCCGTGGCTCATGCGCCCGACGCCCGTCTTTGTGGCCCGGCAGGACGTCGCGGGGCACACGTACTTACTTTTGCCCGCTCGCGACGCCGACGCCGACGCCGCGCCGTCTGACCTATGTACCTAGTATCTACGCATCAATCCATGCCGCTTCCCCCTCGGCGACGACCTCGGCGGGACTCCCACGCGCTGGCGGTGACAATGCAGGTCAGCCGTCGTGTGTGCACTGTCTGCACCGTCGCACTCACCCTTGTGCTCGCGCGGAACACGCGACACGGCCCGGTGGCTGTCGAGAGTGCGAGGGCGCGGACGCCGTCGGGAGCGCGCCGTGCAGCAGGTGGAGGATCTGGAGTCGGCAGAGGTGAGCGTTCCGCTGTGGCCCGGCTCGGAGGAACGGCTCAGCACTCACCGGGTTGTGTCAGACGGCCTCGGGAGCGCGACGCGGCGCGCGGTCGACTGCAAACGACGTCGAGGCGGGATTCCCGGCTGCAGGACGAGGCCGATGCTCGTGGCCCGCGAACCTGTAAACGATTAGCGGCGCGATGTACGTGGCGGTCCGTGACGACGACCAGCTACGCCCGATTCGCGCCCGGTCCCTACGCCGACTAGATACATATGTACAATGCACCATCCCATGCCTCTCGCAACCACGACGCTCTGTCCATCTCGCCGCGCCGTGGGCCCGCCGGTGACGATCTCCACAGCGCGCCCCTCTCCCACGGCGCCGCCGGGGACGTGCCTTCCCGTGACGTCCGCGCTGTGTACGGGAGGTCAGTATTTCGTACCGCATCTGCGCTCCGGAACGACACACTCACCTCCCGGGATGTCCAGGTCGCAAACGAACACAGTCACAGCGGGCGAATCTCGCCGCAGTGAGCCGTCTACTGCCATCCAGACACGAGTGAGGTACTCACCATCGAGTTCCGCAGCGTCCTGACCATCCCCGAGGGTCCCCATTGTGTGAACGAGGCACTGGCAATGTGAGAACGTACGGGCACCACAGTAGGGTCCGTACACACCGCCGTGAGGGGTGCACTGCGGGACCGGATTAGTGAATACCTCGTACGTCGTCGACAGCCGAGGACGACTCACTGATGCCAGTGATGCGGTCTCTGCAGGTCAGGCGGACGCCTTCGTGCGGAGCGGACATGACGGCACTTGCGGCGCACACCCACGCGCTCCAAAGCCGCACCATCCGAGGGCGAATACGGGCGTCCCGTATCGCGCGGCGGCGACTGCGGCAGGTTATGGAGGACAGGTCAGTATGTGCGCTTGCGCTGGACCACGGGTCGACGAGCGTTTGAATGCGCTGAGCACGCCGCACCCTCTGCGGAACGAACACTCACATTAAAGCGGATATCGAGGAGCCACCGCCGCGCTGTCTACGTACCGCTCGCGCATCGCGGACAGAGGGCAAGATATCGGAAAGAGCTGTGAACCAGTAGGTCAGCGGTCATCTTGGACACCTTGCACGATGCTGACATACCTTCTGCACGCATAGATACCGCAGGAAGACGATAGAAAGCGGAGCAGGGAGGGAGGGCAGGAGAAGAGGTATACGCGTGCCCGCGTCCAACGCGAGCACATACTTATACTCGGCGTGATTTAGGGCCGCCCTCGCCCTTCCGACCATACAGTGGTCCGTGCGCCGACTGTGCACCGGAGCCAAGCCCACTTCCGTTGCACGGAAGCAGCTGCTTACGCAGACGGCCCCCGAGGTTACGAGAGGACTGGAGGGCCAGCCCGAGCCCGCTCGACGGTGCACCAACCACAGCACGCCACGGGCAGCCGATGGAGACGGGGCGAGCGGGAACGGACACGCACGGACGCGCCGCGGGTGGCTGAACCACAGATACGCGGCGTGGCGCGTTTCACCAACCGGTCTCGACTCGTAGATTGGGGTTGCATTCGCTTCGGACGGCCGGCGCTCGGTACGCGGGCACACAGGGACCGCCTTCGTTTCGAGCGGGCACGGGCGCAGACCTCGCCGCGGCGGGCTAGCCACTGGGTCGGCAAGGGCACGCTCATCCGCCTCGCCCGACACGGACACTGGGTTGGCAGAGAGGGCAGTGACCTAGAGGATGCCCCAGTGCCCATAGTGTGTCTCGCGGGCAACCATCCTCGCCGTCCATGCATGTTCGGTACCTGTAGCAGCAGTGAATATATCTCGTGAGGACACCCTTGTGTTCTTGTATAGTTCTCAGTGCATCAGGCGCGATTACATCGACGGGTGATCGTACGAGAATGCGAAGGAAGCGAGTTCGCGATGTGCGCGTACCTCGGCCACCTCGCAATTCGCGCGTACCGTCGTCATCATACTCGCTCATTGAGCAATGTGCAGAAAGGACCAGTCGTGACGACCTCGTGCAACGCCGCATTGTGTGCAGAGCAGCCGGTCGAGTGTGCTAGAAGACACGTACATGGTAAGACAGTCTCAGAGTTAGTGGGTGCACCGTAGTACATTGGCAGATTATGGAACACCACGAACGCTTTCGCGGCTCCCAAGTCGCTTCCCATCACAGGATATATTCTCGGGACCAACACACTGGAGCCGCGAAAGACAAGATCGACGCCAGAAGGCCCAAAGTTATCAAGATGTGCCATGAATCGATGCGGCGCCGGGGAGAGCCTACACTACACAGATGGCCAGGACGACCCTCAGCCCGGCAGGGTGACCGAATATGCAACGGAGGATGTAGGTACGTACTGTACTACATTCACGAGTCCAAGCCCGGACGGATGTGCACAAATATATGCCCGTGTGTTGTACGGACTCCAGAAAAAGCCTGCGAACCCGAACGAGTGTAGCGTATAGTCCCACAGATCGGGCCGTCCCCGTCTAAATGAGCATATTCTATCGTGAAAGACTGCATGTAGCAGACATGTGCATGCCATGCGGGAGGATACCAGAAGCGGCGAGGCGATTCCCAGTGAGTTACACCATGCGAGATCAACTATGCCCGGTCGAGGCCGCTGCCGGTGGAGCCCACTGCTTCCTATCGCAATCAAGG